TGGCAAGTGGCATTCTAGTCGAGCGCCAGACATTTAGCCAAGTAAGTGGTAAATGGCATTACGAGCCGAACGCCAAACACTTGCATAAAATGAGGAACAAATCGTGAAAAATTAAATTATCAGTTTATTCAACCACAGGTTGGAGTATGGAAGCTTTACAAAATGAAGTTGTCATTTCATTCATCGTAAAATAATTCTCGGATTACATGAAGTGACACTAAAGTGAAAATAAGTAATTACAAAAGTTAGCAAAACGCTATTCTACTACATCTTCCTGTGCCAAGTGCCTGCTCCATTATCACCAGTCGACTCGCTGTCTTTTTTTCCACCATAAGCCGCTTTACCGTCTCTGGAGGGAGAGTTATGGTAGATGATCCCCTCAGATGATAGAGCTCTGTCAGAGGCAACAGATGTAGGAGGAGCAATGGTGGTAATGGGAGGAACATTCAGAGGACGAATAGGTGGGATGACCCCTGAAGATACAATCTTATTACACTCAATGAAGATATTTTCAGCAAGAGTAGGGGATAGATCCTTGTACACGCTTGGTGGATCAATGTCCAGAGAGACATCCAACTCATCCGGGCCTGCACATGAGCTTGATTCGTCTTCAGGAGAAGAACCGGTAACAAAACTATCTCTATATCCCTCGGCATACTTGAGAACCCCGATCCTGGAAAAGTGGGCGTGAAGAGCCCTTATGCCACCATCAACTCTGCTTATAACATTCAGCAGAGCTGTACGTACATTCGAGAACTTCTCTGCAAAACAGCATGGGTCAGCCGTTCAGCAATTAAAGTGCACTGAAGGTCCCCCTTCTCAGCCTTTAGAGCATCCTTTTCTGTCTGAGCAACGTTCTTCTCTGTCTTCAGAACGTCTACCTCGTCTTGAAGAGAATCCCATTCGGCCTTTAGAGAATCCCTCTCAGCTTTTAAAGCGTTCATTTCCTTCTCTGACTCGTTCAGTTTAACCAAAAGCTCCGTGTTTTTGGCTTTAGTTATTCTTTTTGATTCAACAGATATTTTGAGACCGACAGAGAGGGACTTGATTTTCTTGTTGGCATGTTCAATACTCTTCTAGAACGTGAACATCCTAAAGATAGTCTACACAAAGACACAAGTGCTTATGAAAGGACAAGTGTTAAATAACCATAATAAGAAAAAACAAAGGAATGATGGTGCAGAAGGTAAAAAAAGTACCTCAACAGCAGCCATTGAAAAACGTTGGTACATCTTGTTGAAGGTCATTTTGTTCTGAACCTCTATGTCCTTATGGGTTCAAATGCCCTTGTAGAAAACAAATGAGGTGAGTGGGTCTTTGAACAAAGCGTCTGTGGGGGAAATGACTGACCCGTCCTCACATTTGAGCAAGGGATGCCATGGAGTGGCAGAGGTTCTGGCAGCTTCACCCTCTGGAATGGTTATCTGAGGGGAAGGAATATTTTTTGTGACCCTGAAAGGCCGAGCCCTTTGGGCTGGAGGAAGAATGCTCTGATCATGGCCGTCTTTAGGCTGAGGTCTTTTGCCCAGGCTCTTCTTCAAAATGTGAGTTCAGATAGGGGAAGATCCATTGGCATTTTGAGAGGATCCCTCAGCGTTCTGGGTGGCAGGAGGAGAAGTTTTATTTGGAACATCAAAGGGCTCATCGCTCGGCAATACAGGTTGATCCTCAGCCAAGGTGGATGAAAACAGTTCAGTGGTAGGCCGCTTGTCATTCTGAGCAATAATCTGAATGGTTGAAGTGGCCACAGAAGTGGTTGGTGCAGTCACGGGAGTGGCTGCAGAACGCCTTCTCCTACTGAAAGAAGGAATCTAGATGTTTTCCATAGTAGTACCAAGAGTGGATATGTCAGAAAGGTTGTTCGGGGTAAGCAGGTCGGTGGTAGAAGGGATGTCGTTCAGAACTCTCTCTCCCCAGAAGGTTAAGTCTGGCTTACAAACGCTAAAAACCAATTCGTCATGATCGATGTGAAGGCAATGATAAAGAAAAGTGTAGAAACGAAGAAGGCAAATTTCACAGGGGCAATAGGTCGGATGTTTTTTTATATTTCTTATACAGAGGGATAGAACACTCTCCAAAAGTGGTTGGAATGGGGAAAGTCAAACCAAGCAAAGTTCGCCAATCTCCACTGACCCCGATTAAGTTTTTCCTTTAACCCTTTTTAGATGAGAGTTTGTCTGTACGTATGGACCGTTTCTTGATGGGAAAGAAGTGAAAGTATATCTCGTTGGTTCGGATTTTGTAGACTCTATAGCAAAGAAGAAAATCTATGATATCTAGATCTAGGTTCCTATCACGGTTCAGGAGCAGTAGAACTGATGTTGGCCTATGAAAGTTGGGATTTACTTGAAGAGGGGAAAGCCCTAATCGGCTAAAGACACAATAAAAGAACGGGTGTAGGAGAAATCTAATTACATTTAAATGGAGAATCGAAAAGAGGATCTCGCCGGGAAGGAGACCTTCCCCGGACTTCTCATTCAGGTCAGTGGGGTAGACTCGAAGGGAAACAGTATTTAGGATGTTGTTCCTTGAACGAATAGCATCCAAATCAAGGAAATTTGCAAAGTAAAATTCTTTAAGTGTAAAATTCCTTTCTTTTAAAGAGAATAGCAAGAGAAATGAACTAACCTTGGAAAGGGAGTTTGCAAAGTAGCCCCTAACAAAGCGAAAGTTGAAGAATTGCAAAGGGAAAAACTCACCGGAGAAAACAGGGAAAGCTCGCCGGAGAATACTGGTAGGTGACAGAGATAATCGAAGAAGATGACGCTTGAGGATGGAAGTGAGAAAGGTTGAAAAAAGATAAAAGGTGAGAAGTTGGGGTTTTTAAAGTGAAAATGATTCAACATCTAAGAAGTTATAGTAATAATGGTGCAGCAGATCTCAAAGCGTGGGTCTCTGAGCTAACCGTTCGCTTCCCCACGTCAACACCTCGAGCCGTTATGTCATGATTATGTCCTTTCGATAATCTCACCCTAATTAATTAGGAAAAGATTATGGGGCAGATGAGGATACCAAATATGGCCTGGGTCGGGCGCGATCCAGATTGCTAAGAACTGGTCGGGCAAGAGCAACCGCTCCGAACCAAGTCTTCACTGGACAGGCCTAAGACCGGGAAATCATGTTGGAAGCTCGATTTCAGATAAAAGGAATTGAGCCCATAACCAATAAGAGCCCAGAAGAACAACCCAGTTGAAGGAGTTAGTTACGAAGCTTCTAGAAGATTTGTAACCGTCTATAAATAGACTGAAAATAGAGGGAAAAAGGATTGAAATATTTTTGAAGTGTAGAATTATTCTTTCCAATTTGAGAGAGCATTTTTTTGCATCTTCAATAGACATATTGTTTTGATCATAAATGATATCTAAGGTGTTTAGTTGATTACATGAATTAAAAATGTTGATATAGATGTTATATTTGTTTTGGACCTATGTGGATGATGTGGTTATGTTAATATATTTGAAATGTGATATTAGGTTGCCTAATACTCTTTTCGTTGATATTATACTCACATGAGAAAATGAGATTTGTTACATCTATACCATGCGTGCTTTAATTGTCATCATTGCATTTTTGAGCATGCCATGATAGCATTGGACATTAGGACATGTTTGGTGTGGAAAGCATAAGATTATGTGCGTTTGTAAAGTGCAACTTGGTTATATATATACATATTGGTTTATGACACTTGGTGGAAATTAGATAACTATTTTTGGGATATTCTTAGGACATTTTTCGTTACTTTGAGAATGTGAGGGTTTGGCTTTCATGGGTGAGACATGAGTTTCCCCAATGTATAGTGGTTACTTGGGTAGTTCCCTACAGGTTAGTAACCCAAAAATAACTATTTTATTGGGTGGTTACCTGCTGTTCAATTTTGGAAATGACCAACGCTTTTTTATGCGTACAGTACGTCTGGTTGGGGGTCTATTGTCCAAGTTATCCCTATTATGTGATTTTGGGTCTATTGTATAAGTTGGCATCCATGTGTAGTTGCAACTTGGCTTATGATATTTGTTTCCAATTCCGATTTGTTATAAGTTGGTATCCATGTGTAGTTGCAACTTGTTTACTTCTTATAATTCATTTGCTAGGTTTTGACTACTACAAATGGAATGGATCTTGCATACATGTATATTGAGGGTTATTTAATGGATTGATCATGTCTACTTGCTACTGTTAGCTTAGGATGATGCCTTTAGTATTTTTTTCGAAAATTAGACGTTAAGGAGCATGTCCCTTACATTGTTGACACAGGCTATACTTGTGAAGTTAAAGAAATATAGTATGTGTATGTACCTACCATTGACCTACTAAGCATTGTAGCTCACCCCTTCGTTGATTCCCCTTTTAGGTTGAAGTAAGGCTCTTAAGGAGGACACTTCCTTTTATTTGTTTTGGACATTAAAATTGATATATATATATATATATATATATATATATATATATATATATATATATATATATGTATGTATGTATGTATATTTGTCTCTATTCCATTTTGTAGCTATTTGGTTTTGTAATTGAGCTCGTATGAATTTATGTGGATGTAATTTCATTTAAGATGTATGATTGTATTGACACCAGGAGAAATGTAATTTGAGGCCTTAAGGCCATTTTATATTCAATGTATGAGATGCAGTTTAATTACACACTCAATGTATGCTGTCCTAGAGAGGGTGTGTTCATATCTAGTGACCTCTTCATTTTGTTCTCCCTTCCGCATTTCGGACTTGATATCGGGTCGAGTTTGGGTTTCTCAGTTGATGTACCGGATTATGAGTTTTAGGGTCGTTACACAGTGTCTCGTTTTAATTTGTCAGGTGAACTTATTTGTACCAAATTATACTTTAGGGGTGTTTTGTGCACGAGGAGGGTGTGATATACACTGTAAACATCCTTTATGGGTGTTTTCTGCACTAAACTCTATATATTATTGGTTATGTAAAATATTCATGCACCTCCACAAATACTCACTATATAGTTTGGACTTCTCACCCAGCTAGGCTCAAACGAGAAAATCTATCTAAATTAGGGGTTTAAATTCAGAATTGCAAACACAACATGATGCATGAAATTTACTCAAACTTAAACCTTCCCCAAAATATAAAAAATAAAAAATTACTCAAACTGAAGTAAAAAATTTGCGAACAGATGCGACCCAATACTGATTGGTACATTATTTAATTCACGGTATCACATTGCTCCTGCTTTTCATTAGAGAGGATAATATGCAAACCACCTGTCTAGCATGGTGTAACACTCCTTGGGCTTGTATTCTGGCGCAACATGACCCGCTCCCTGCACAAGGAATGAATGAAGAGCATATAAATTTTGATTTCTGAAAAACATTAATTGGTGGAGAATTAGACCAACAAGTCGAGAGAATTTTCTTGCCTTCACAGTTGCGTATGTCAAGGCAAAGTTATTTTCTGTAAGCTTCTTAACGTATCTGGATCAGACAAACAAACATATATAATGTGATCAGATGAGAGATAAGTCTCTATTAAATTATTAATTGAGTCTCTCCCTCTTCCTCATACAGGCCTTTAATGTAATGTAAGATTAGAAATTAATAATATATGTATATATATAGAAATTAATGCCATAACTCGTATGCCTGTGCACTAGAACACAATCATCAATCAAGAAAAATAAGAAGAAATAGAATCGACGAAATGTACAATTTAGCTGAACCCACCCTGCAACCTGGCCATCAACAAACCATGCTCGCCAAACACTACCAACGGTTAAATTGAGGGAGCCTATCCATTCTTGTGTACCAATATGTGGAACCGACATATCATGATCGCCACTGTAGAAATTGATGAACTTCATTAAATGATGAGTGACGTACGTACGTTTAAACATTTGTAACTATGGGTGCCTAACTATGATGTTGGGTCATGCTAGTAGATCCATCATGCAAACTCAAACCAGATTTAAGAATATTATGCATTGGCTAATTGACCATCTTCAAGAATTTAATACCGATGGGAAGATGTTTCATGCAAATTTACGTCCATCATTGCATTAATTCTCTACTCTGTAGTAGAGTAATTTTTTCTTTTCTTTTCTTTTCGAATGGTCCGTAAGTATCTTAATATAGAAAGATCTTAAGATTGAATTTTAGGTGTTCTTCGATCAGCACAGTAGTAAATAAACAGCTCATTCTTAATGTCCTCTAATCATTTAAGGTGACATTTGCAAATAACGCAGCCTACAAGAATTGTCTGTATGTGTGCGTGTGCGTGTTTGGGTGTGGAAATAAATAAATAAATAAAAGGAAGAAAAACAAAGAAATGTTTTACCTGTATATCAAAGCTCTGAGTGCTGCTGATGTTAGATTTTGATGATACGCTACACTACTTGTTACATCCTTTGTATAAGCCAAACTACCGTTGCACCTCTCCCAAACTCCTTTCGTCCCCTGATTAACGTTGTAAACATTCCTCATTCTGAAACTATTCTTTATGCGGATTTTATTTTTTATATAGTGTACATACATACCTCTCGAACATGAAGTGCTTTTCGAACACCTTTATCATTTGCCCATACGGCACAGAGCACATAAACATAATCCTACAGAAGTAGACAAATTGCTGATGATGTAAATTCAAACTCCAGATTGAATGAAATTGCTTACCCAATAAAACTGCACAGGTATATGAGTTAAAAACAGATTTACATGACAATAGTATGCAGAATCATTAGGTTGCCAAAGGAGAGAACTTTTGGAGTGCTCTTTGAGAGATCTTCGACGCCAACTTAATTCATGAGGTCTTGCTGATGCTTCACCACAATAAGGATCCAGAACCTGCACTAAATTTATGTCACGGACCAACTGCAAATTGAAAAGTTCTCTTACTATCAAAATATCAATCCCGGCCTCCAAAACTTAATGACCACAATATATTTTTAAAACCAGAAAAAAGATAGTCTCTCTAACCTCATCGATTGCTTCAATGGCTGATTCACATTGTTCATTGACCACATTCACATAATCTCCATTGCAACTCGTTTTTGCTGACTTGAAATTCATAAAAGATTCAGCATCTTTCAGAATGATATTGTATAAGAAAAGTTTATAGGCACCTGTTCTCAATCTTAATTATGTAATCAGTTATATCATGAAATCTGAGGACAATAGAGGCCAAACAGAGCAAGTGAACGTATCATGCTTTGTACAAAATCATCTACTCAATAAATGTGAATTTTTTTAATTTTACCCTATTCGCTAAAAATAATGATGCTAAAAATTTCGAGGTGATTTAGTCATATCAATGTGTTTTAAAAAATGCTATAAAACATGATGGAAAGAATTTTCAAATCCTATGTATAGCAGGATGGGATGATTGGATGAGATGTCCAAACACCAATTAACAACAGTGGCAAAAATGTCTATATATATATAATGACTTAATGTGTGCTGCATAATCTTTTGCTCGGCCTGCCAAAGCCATTCACTTGAAGTTCCTAGTGGATATTTTCTTCAACTCTGAGTATGGTCATCTACATGGATGGGTACCATAGGACTTCTGCTGGAACTTAATAGAGGAAGATGTAACATGATGAGTCATGAAATCACCTGATAAAGGTCATCGGAAATAAGTGTCAGCCGGTGAGCAAATGGAATTCTAGAATTGTCATCAATATATGAATCGGTCACTGGGTTTCCAAGAACGTACCCCTGGCAACAATTTAAAGAATACCGTATTTAAAAGCAGTTCACAAGTATGTGTGCGTGTGTTGCTCTGTGCTTTGTTTGATGGAATGCACATCAGAAATCCCAATGTCAGAGAGTATTGCAGGATATTGAGCTTTTGTTTCCTTTTGTATTCATGTTTTCTTTTGCAATCCAACGGAGGATAGGACAATTTAAGATGGAACAAGATAAAAACTAACAGAATTAAATTGAAATTTCAAATTAGTTCATTTACTTGGAGATTCATGAATGGCTCCTTTTCAGCTCCATTACCTGCAACTCCATAATGAACAAACCAGTATAACTACTATTTGGTTTCCATGAAAATATGAAAGCAGTGATCCTCAAGAAGACAATTAAACTACCGCTTATAATCTCTTGGACGAGCATGGGAACAGGTATGCCTGAATAGGAATCACCACCGATGTAGAGATTATTTTCCAAGAATTGTGGATGATCTATCAACCACTGCACAACATCAAGAAAAATATTATTATTATTTTTCTGCAAGGAAAAGAAATTTCTAATATTACAAGAAGCTACTATTAGTTATTGATTTTTTTTTTTTAGTAGTACAAGGTTGTGAAACTATCAGCGGTCACTTGTGACGTTTCAAATTTTCACAAAGTCGGATATGTCAATGTGACCCGAAAGTTGACCTGATAACAGATCCGAAATGCGGAAGCGGAAACAAAACAAGATCTATGGGGATGTTGGTATCCCTAAGACGCCATGGTGACTTTCCATGAAGTCATAGAAACAAAAGAAAACGAATACGGAAACGAAAGGGTGAAAATAGACCAAGTATGCCCCTAAGGGCAAAATGGTCATTTCACATGAAAAACAAAGTCTCGAGAGACGTACGTTATCCTTGAGACACAAACATGACTTCCCATGAAGTCACAGAACTTAAAAGAAAACAAAATGCGGAAGCGACATTTTAAAAACAGACAAGTTTAGTTTTAGGGGCAAAATAGTAATTTTTAGAAAGTTATGGGTGCTACCGAGCACACCATCGGATAGACAACGAAAAGTTAACGAAGATAGACTCAAGAATCACTTGATTCGGAATTCGGACGGAGGAGAATGGCCAAAAACAAAAATGGGCGTCGCTGCAGCCCAGGGGGCACCTATGCGCGCCCATGCACGCCCGCCTATTTTTATTTCAGTAGAGGCATGTGTGTATAAGTACCAACTAAGAAAAAAATATATATATGACATCAATTAATGTAATGTTAATGTGTTTTGTACGCACCTTCCTTAGAAATTGATAGGTTTGCGCTGATGATTTGTAATCATCTATATAGTAACCTTGTTGGCTTGTTGAGTAAGAGAATCCACTGCCAACAGGTGCGTCTAGATATATTATGTTGAGGCGCTGCAAAATTATCACTAATTTTCAGTTTTACCTAAATTTACTTAAAGAAATTTCTAATGTTTTAAGCTAATTAAACCACATAATCTGCATAAAGATATGATCAAAACTTTGCACACCTGCGTCCAGGCATAATCATTTAAACTAAGTGTTGGTAAGCCCCCTTTATAACCATCAGTGTTGAATATTACCGGACCTGTGCAAATTAAGGGGAAAAAAGAATGGCATCAATCAATTAATTGCTGTTTGTGACACCCAACTACATGCTTGTTTCCTACTGACTGATAAGACAAGACATGTTTTGTGGTATTTGGTTATTAAGCTAGCTATGTATAGGAGACACTTAAGTGGGCTCTTTTGGAAGCCAGATGGATTGTTGGATCAAACCATCAATTCAAGTGTTTGATTCTTTACTGATTTCTTTCTTAATTTGTTGCTTCAAAGAATTAAAACCCTCGGTTTTAACTTAATCATGAGGAAACTTGACCTAGAAAGGAGGCCTAATTAGGTGTGGCAGAGCCGGAAAAACCCTGTCTGGCTGGCCTAATTTAGAGATGTAAGCAAAACTGAATCAACCCACCCCCACACCAGGTGCATTATAGTTTACTGCCATGGCGTTGAGTTTCTATGCAGTCACTTTGGATGGTGTATTTACAAGGATGACAAAGAAAACGTAATACTGTAGAAGATGTGTTACTAGTTGTCATTCTAAAATAGCCACTTATTAGACAGCAATCTAAATCACTTAATTCATTTTATAATGTGGGCTTGTGACAAATTGATGCTACCAATGTTAAACAGGAATCACGCTCCAATATTCATTTCTATATATATAAATTTCAAGAGCAAGGAAGGGTTTAGTGAGAAATGAGAGAATCATAATCACCCCTGTGCCAGTTTTTCCTCTTTTTATTTTTATTTTTATTTTATTATTTTATTTTTTTTAGACCACGAAAATATACAAAATCACAAAGACAAATATACTCTTGAGACAATCAATAATTAATGGTATTTGGTACTTACAGACAGAAACGGACATTAATGTAAACTTGGTTCTGATAATTATAAGTAGATTAGATAGTGTTATGGGACAACTGTATCGGTATGCCACCTCCTTAATTTTTTAAATATCATTAACATTGACGGATCGGTCATGTCATTTTAGAGCACATACACAACAAACACAACAATGAGAAGAATAAAAATTAAGAAAGAAATTGGACCGCTTTCATAAAAGAATGCAGAGAGAGTGGAACAGCCAGGGCCACCGGTGAGCCAAAGCAAAAGAGGGTCTTGTTCTGGGTTCCTCTGAGATTCGACGAAGTAGTAAAACAGTTGCACGTCGTCCAATTCACCTACACCCACATATCTGCATGCAAAGCGCGTATATATATATATGTGTGTGTGTGCGCGTGCGTGCAAGAATCAATCATTTGAACAGAAAATACTATATGAAGTTTCTTAATTGGCAACCACATTGGTGCGTACACAGACGAACAGCACAATGTAGGATCAAAAATCTAGTAGAAGTAGAAGATCAACTTAATTAATTACGTACCCTGTTTCGAGTGTGAAGGGTAGAGTTCCATTGAAACCGGGTATAGATGTGATGATTGTGCGTGAGGTAGCGATGCCTATACCTGAGAAAGCAAATAGAAAAAGTGGGAGCAAACACATAATTGAGATATTGTTGAAACAATTTGAATTGCACAAAGCAATTTGACAATAATGTAGTTCAGCTACTGCCAAGGTTGCCGCTTTCCTTGCCATATCATCAAATTAAAATTTAGTTTAAATTAGTTGAACCTCCACAAAACTGTAGGGTGGGATCCAGAAAACTTATATAATATAATATATGTCATCCATAACTGTTGACTATTGTATATACACCAAGTTAGAAAGTTGGGTACAAATTAATTGGAACAATTAGCTTCAAGCCTCCGGTCTATGCAGCGCCAATATCCAACAACACGTGAGAGACACAGAAACAAGTGTAACTTTGGATTTTATAACAAGAAAGTTAGGTGAGGCTTGATCATGAACATACATACGTGTAATATTGTTTGACTGGCCGGTTATTGTCAAATTATCAACTATCAAGTATCAACCTAGCTAGCTCAAATATTCAACGACCCTACCTATTATTTTTTTTGTTGTCCTTGAGGTTTGACCACGTACCTAATTCTATAGATACATTTCCCACAAGTAAAAAATAAATAAATAAAAAATGAAATAAAAATATAAAGAGAAAATACTTAGGTCATCATTAGTGAGAATCAATTAAATACTTACTATTGATGTGAACCAATAATAAATGGACACGTCCTATTTTAATTACCAAATCATAGATGGTAATCAAATCACTATCACCATTTTTAATTTGGTAATTAAAATATGACGTGTCCATTCATTATTGGTCCACATTAGCGGTGAGTATGTGTAGATTTCACTAGTAAGGACCTAAATATTGTCTAATCTAAGGATATGCTGCTGTTGGTATTTTTAGGAGGGCATTCCCAATTTCTACACTTCACTTCTCTTCTTTTCTTTTCTTTTTTTATAAAAAAAATGAAAATAGTCTCTAAACTCATCTCTTATTTTATAATGCACATAACTTATTTTATAATAACACAACCACCCTTTATATTATAAATTAAACTTTTTACCTTATTTACCTCATTTAGTATTTATTTATTTTCGTCCGGTCAAAAAGAGATAATTAATTGATAACTTATTTTTTTGGATCCTTTATTTTTTGTTACTTTTTAAGTCTATATATGAAACGCTCAATAACGGCTCCAAAAAGAGCTCATTGTACGGATATAAATATGAGGGCAAGACCCAAATGAAAGGCATTCCACAGCATCGCTAGCCCTTGTTCTTCCTTGATCTCTTTCTCTCTTCCTTTTATTTTTATTGATTATACTTTCAAACGAGTGTTTGAGCACGAAATTCTTCTTATCGAACCACAACGTTTGGTTCGTAATTTTGTGTACCAACATGGATCAAAAACCTTGGTTCTTGGGCTCACCCAGTGCAAATCCACTAGTTGTAATGCAAGTTAAAACACACTCAATTGTCTCACACTCTACACATATCCTAGCTCACATACATGTGCTCACAGCACTCCCCTTGTCCTAAGCACCCCTGATTGGACCAAATAACCTCTCACAACTCATCAAATACATAATGAAAGATGTATAACAAATATACTTAAGCTATTACACAAGATCAGAGTGATTAAGTAGCTCAAAGTATAAATCAAAACAAGTTCTTCACAAACTTCAGCAGAATATGTGGTCTGAAGAGTAAAAATGGAATTCAACTTCAATACAGACTTGAACTTGGTTTCCACAATCTTATATCAACCATATACACATGCTCAGATGATAATCTTGGTAAGGATAGCAAGGTAATACAATGACAGTACACCGAAGGCTTGGTTCCTGTAGAAAACCCTAATATTCAAGGTTTGGTATACCAGATTTTGATATGACCATTTCTTTATGTAAATCTTAACTTGTAAAGCCTTTAATCAACTATTGCAACAAATGGGTATTCAATCTTTATTGAAAAACAAAAAAATAATAAACAAATGAGTATTCAATCACCTACGATCATCTAACTATTCAAATCACGTTAAAATTACGTTCTTAATTAAATCTAGCTATTAATATCAAAAGGTTCAAAACAACAATAGTTTATAAAGTGAAGAAAACACCCCTATAATATGCTTACAGTGTGTATCACACCTCTTATGTACTAAATGACCATTTTCGCCATTTCATAAAATGATGCATTTTTAAATAATATATAAATGTATATATAAGGACAATTTAGGCTAAATATAACTTAAATGTGTCAGGAGGGATCTATTTACACCAAATTAAAACTTTAGGAATGTTTTATGCATATGAGGGATGTAAGCATGCTATAGGGTGTATATATATAGTTTTTGAATTATATATTTTTTTGATCAGTTATAATTGTGTTTGGATCATTCTCAACCACTTTATTATTATCTGAAAGTTAGAAAGTAGATTTTCTCCATTTTTAGATATTTTTTCATTATGAAAAACTATGACCGACCTAAGTCACATAATCCTTCTAAGGTGGTGTTACTCTCGCACTCCGCACACGAATTGAGCTTTGAAAGCAAATCCTTGTATAATTCACGAAATCAATTTCTTCAATTCACGAATTCAATTTGTGAATTATCGAATTTAAACGATTTCTTATTTATTGAATTATGGACAATTGCATGTTACATTTATTATTGATGACAATAATCAAATGTGCCTAATATTGAATGAAAAAATTAAAAATGTGAAGAATAAATCTACATTATTAAAAAATAATAGCATATCATTACCATATTACCCATTTTTGTTTTTTTTTTTTTTTTTTTTTTTGAGGCTAAATTATTAAATGTGTGTGTACATTGTATAAACACATATATATTTGTAAACAAAATATATAGATACTTTTAGTTTACTTTTATTAGATAAGATGTTTATTAATTTATACTCTTTAAAGTAATTATTTCGTGTATGAAAATTTAAATAATATTTTTTAAAAATTTTAGAATAAATATATGAACATTGCAGGTAGTATTTTTTTAAAGGTTTAAGTGCAAAAAAACCCCATCTACTATCGATATAGTGCAAACAGGTCCCTATGTGGTATAAAACCCCCATATATTATCAATTTAGTGCAAATAGGTTCCTGTATGGTATAAAATGACGATAATACCCTTACTTCAGTTGAATAAATTAATAATTATAAATACAGACCATGTAAAATGACCCTTTTGTCTAATTTGTGCAAAATTGTGTTTGTTTGGGATAAGAATAAAATAAACCTTAATTTGTATAAAATTAGGGTAAAATAAAAACTGGATATAATAAAAACCGAAACCAAACAGTCCCCTACTATATAAGACACACACTGTAGCACTGTTTATCCAAAAAAAGAAGAAGCTAATTAGCTTAGTTAAATCTAGCTTCTGTGTTTCAACCCAATCGAAGCAATGATGGTCCAGGATGCCATTAGCGAGAAGGTGAAGAAAATCCCAATTTGCACTAATGTTAGTGTTTTAATGTTTTTTGCTGAAATAAGCAATACAATCTGTGTTTGATGTTTTGCGTAGTTGGGTAATTTCATACACTATATAGCAACATTTGTTTCTGGATTTGTGGTGGGTTTCACTGCTGTGTGGCAATTAGCACTAGTCACTCTCATTGTGGTTCTACTCATAGCTGTAATTAGAGGCATCCTGTGATGGCCCTATGGACGGGTGTGCCGTGAGTGGGTGCGAGACACTAGTAGGCTACTACACTGGCGAGCTACGGGTGTATAATCCTACATCACCTGGATAAAGGAAAGGTGAAGTGCTTATATGTGGTGTTGTTATCTCCAATTAGTATAAGGCCTTTTAGGGTAAAACCTAAGAGCAAAACTGTGTAGGCTAAGGCCCAAAGCGGATAATATCATACCATGTGGTGGAGTGACTCGTTACATATCCACACCACCACATTATCTAAGGTCTCTACCAGAAGCCAACAAGCTCTTTCATAAGCAGGAAACATTATAGAATAGGTAAGAAAAGGAAATCAACCCAATCGCGCGAGCTATCATATCGAGAAGGAAATAGAGCCTACCAAAAATCACAACAAAATTCCCAAAATCACCCATGCCGCTTCCTCCCCACCATGGCCGCCGCCTCCAACCACCTCCTCCCATTGCCCAAAACCATCTCTTTCCTCTTTAAACCCATCAACAATATATACACAACTGGCCACCACCATCCTTTCGCAAAATCGCCACCACCGTCCCCACACATAATCACATGATTTAGGGTATTCCATTGTGTTTATCCTGACATAACTTTAATTTTAATTATAATTTTATTTTATTTGTCTATTGAATTGATAAATTTTTTAAAATAATTACAGTGTGTATATATATATATATATTGTAATGTTCATGATATATATATATATATATATTAATGGTAAAAGATATTTTTATAAAGGCCATAGGACCCATTAAATTCTTTAAACTTTATATAATGACCACAAGGTCATTAGATGATCATCTGATTATCTCTTCCTCGCGCAGTGCACTGGTGCCTTCTTATTTTCTTTTTCATTTCTCCACATTTTAAGCCTATATCAACACCGTATCCTTGTGAATTTGATTTTGCCGCCTAAAGCAAAGTTGATAAGCGCGTCGAGGCCGACATTTTGATTGGAGCAAAGTGTCATTTGGCCACCATTTAGGATTTCCAATTTTGGGCTGTTTTGGGGCTTTTCATCTATTTTGAGGCAGGGGTGTTCTAATTCACAATTTCTTTGATTCTTTGTGACTTTTTCCTTCTAAAGTTGGTCATAAGCATGCTTAGTTTTAGTTATTTTGAATATGGTGATTGTATTTAGTTGTGTTCATGATGTTAAGTGATGTGGTGTGTTAATTGAGCCAATGAACTTAATTAATTTGTTGTGATGAAAATCATGCTCAGTTATGACAAGTTGTATGTAAAATGTTTGTCAATTGCTATGTAAAATTGGGATTATTAGTTGTGAAAATAAATGTAAAAATTGGAATTATTAGCTGTAAAAATAAATTTAGAATTTCTTCTTAAAATATGAATATGACGTTGATGGAATGTGTAGAATTTAATTGTTGGATTTACGAATTGAAAGTATGTAAAATGTCATGATTTGGAAATATGAGAATGCGATATTGTGTGGAAATTTATGTTTTAAAACATGCTTAAATGATGCGGATAATACGTATGAAATTCTATGTTGTTATGGCATTGAAGGAA